ATGTTAGAGCATCAGTGATGGACCTGGCAGCTTGCAAAGAACAAGAAGTCAAGGGAAAATACAATTTAAAATTTAAAATAGGACAAACGATGCCAGGAAAGGGAGAGGACGTAAAGGCAATAAGCTGCTCAGAATCACTCAACAGTGAGATGGGTGGCATATAAATGTAATAACTAAAAATAAATAAATAGAAAACTGAAGACAATGTCGTTCTTTACTTGGTGTACTTAAATTTAGATAGAGGACAACTGACATTGCATTTAATGGTTTTCACAGGAATGGTGAGTTTGAGGTGGCATTTGAAGGATACTATATGGGTAGTCCTCAACCTGTGACCACAGCTGAGCCCAAAATTTCTGTTGCTAATCGACACAATTGTTAAGTGAGTTTTGCCCCACTTTACAACCTTTCTTGCTACAGTTGTTAAGTGTATCATTGCACTTGTTAAGATAGCAACACAGTTAAGTGAATCTGGATTCCCCCTTGACTTGGCTTACCGAAAGATCACAAAAGGGGATCACATGACCCTGGGACACCACAACCGTCATAAATATGAGCCAGTTGCCAAACATCTGAATTCTGATCTCACGACACTGCGGATGCTGCAATGGTCGTAAGTGTGAACAACGATCATAAATCACTTTTTTTCAGTGCCGTAACTTTGAACGGTCACTAAACATAAGTCAAGGACTTTCTTTAATGTAAAGAACAAAGATTCTGGACACATCTGTTGTATTTTCTTTGCTTCCAAGTTAACCGGGTCTACGTATTTGTAGTTGAGATAGTCCACTAAAAAGTTGATTTGTGATGGATTGTGAATTAGAGAAGTGATCAGGTGCATTTTGAAAGGAATGGCCTTGGATGTTCCTCTCCCTCCTTCAGGCACACATCTCCTTTCCATTTTTTTTTAAAAAAAAGCTCTATAAAGAGCTTGTGGCAAAGTTGAGGGTTATGTTTGATGGAAAGCCGTTGGGCTCACTGAACAGTCTTTCAAGCATTGAATGCAACTCTAAAATCACTGAAAATGTTAAGTACTCTAACGTATGTCCAATTATGCTCATCTTTAAGTTAAATCTGCTGTTACCTATTGTAGTGTATCTGCATAACACTTGAACTATAATTTGTCTAAGCCTGGGCTTTAACAATTATTTTAAGTGTTCTCTTAATGGATTGGAATATAAAAGCAAGTTATTGTGAGCACTATATCCTCTTTTTTTTCATTTAGGAATGGAGTCCTTGCATTGGAGTTACAAAAGTCTTTTTTATTTTTTATTTTTTTTGATGCACAGCTTTTTGCTACCTGAGTTTTATTCATACTTCAGGGGGGAAAAAACCCCTACTAAAATTCTTGTGAGTTTTTTTTTCCTCTAAGAGTATGTCATAAGCAATAGGAAAGGATAAAAGCTGTATAAGTTTTGGAATCTGGACTTGGATCCCAAGATACTTGAAGATCAGGGAAGTCCTATGTTCCCTGTTGCCAAAGTTCAAACAAAGCCCTCCCATCATATTCAAAGATACACTGCCCTTGAAAATGGAAGAGCTATTCAGTCTCTTATATACCTGTTAGTCTTCTGGGATAAGGAGACTTTCACTGAAATGATCAACATGTGATAAAACATATTAGAAAAAGGATTTTGTTACCTTAGTTGGGCTCCCTATGAATACTGTTGGGCCTCCAAAAAGATTTCTTCAACAGATTTCCCACTGTGCTGTGCGGTGACAGACTGCCATGAACTGTGGGGAGAGGGAATGAAGGGGGGAAGGCTTGGGGGAATATGAAAGTAAGTGCTGCATCTCCTTGAGATGCTACCTCAAGGTCACCCAGCTGGAAGAAGGAAGGAGCCACATACCAAACCTTGCTTGGACTGACTGTTATGGAAACATCTTGCTAGAACCTGATTGGTTACAATGGGTTGGGCAATGAGAGACAGTTAAGGGAGGGAAAAGTAGAACTTTAGGGATTTTGCTATGTGATTCTCAGTTCTGGCTTTGCAATACTGCAATACAGGTGACCTTTAATAAACTATACCTTTTTCAACAAAGGGGGCCAAGGATCATTTCTATTTAGAGCAGTGGTTCTCAACCTTTTTAATGCCGCGACCCCCAACTGGTCGTAAGTCGAGGACTAAACCGGTTGTAAGTCGAGGACTAAACCGGTCGTAAGTCGAGGACTAAACCGGTCGTAAGTCAAGGACTACCCAACCGGTCGTAAGTCGAGGACTTTCCCTGCCCGGGAGCGCCACGTATGCGTGGTTCCGCCCCCTGCGCCGGCCGAGGCGTAGCTGGCAAGCGGCAGAGACGGAGCAGGCCGACCACCAGCTGGCCCAGCTCAAGGGAGGTAAGGCACCCGCCGGAAAAGGGGAAAAAAAATGGCGGACAGCCTTGCTTGGCGACCCCCGTGAAATGGTCGATCGACCCCAAATGGGGTCACGACTCATTGTTGAGAACCGCTGATTTAGAGGTTTAACTTGTGGCAAGTCTGACACCCACCCTGCCTTTTATTAATAATAATAATAATAATAATAATAATATCATCATGGACACTGACATGGCACATAGGACCAGCTTTTAACTTCATCTTTATTTGCAAATAGACTCCCTTAAATTGTTTCCTTATTATTTTGATCAGCAATTGGCAGGAAAAACCTAGTATGGACTTGATGAGATCCGTTTTGAATTTAATCTGTGTTTGTTCGTTTTTCACTGTTTAAATCCAAACTGGAAATCTGATGATAAGGTAAAAGATGCCAGGGAGTCCTTGGTGCTCTCTAAGATTGGTTATTTCCTTGCAGAAGTTTCATTACCCACCTAGGTAACATTATTGATGTTACCTAGTTAGGTAATGAAACCTCTGCATGCAAACAACCAAACCTAGATGGCACCATTGTTCAACCCGGAGCTACGTATATCCTCTTCTATTAAAGCAGGCATGTCAAACTCACAGCGTCAGGTGACGTCGCGCGACGTATCGTGACTTTTTCCCCATTGCCCATTGCCGGCAATGGGGTGGGCACGGTTTCGTCGTGACGCATCTGGCCTGTGGGCCGGCAGTTTGACATGCCTGTATTAAAGGATACTAACATGATTTACTCACCTACTTTTATTAATTTATTTATTATTCTTCCCAGACCTTTATGAAGAAATCCGTCAATTCCGCAAGGCCTGCGGCGACGCTCATATGAAAACAATCTTGGGAACAGGAGAGCTGGGATCGCTTAAAAATGTCTACAAAGCCAGCCTTGTAGCCATGATGGCAGGTAACTTCCACGTCTTTGGATCAGGTAGTGTTTGCAACAGATTGCTGCTTTGTGGAATCCTTCAGTTCTGTAAACTAACCAGCCATGTGAGCTTTCTAATAAACTCCATTCCATTTTTCCTGTTCTCTGTTGTCTTTTTTTTCTTTTCTTTAGGCAATCAACAGTTCTTGCCTTGGATACATTGAGCTTTCATGGAACTGTTTTGGACCATTCTCTTTGCCACTCCCCCCTGGCATACTACATTAAACCAAAATTCATTTTATTTTGTTTTGCTTTACCACATTGGTTCTAAAGCAGTGGTGTCAAACTCGCAACATCACATGATGGGTCGCGACTTGTCGCGACTTTTTTGCCATTGTCGACAATGGGGTGGGCGCGGTTTCGCTATGATGCATCCGGCCCGCGGGCCAGCAGTTTAACACCCCTGTTCTAAACTGACTATAGTTCTGGTACATTATTTAGCAGGTTGTACAATGACAACCAATTATAGTTTATAAGCTGTGGTTTATGGCATTAACTGCTATGTGAACCCTGTGAATGGTGGCATTTGGTAAACAGTTACAGGTAGTCCTCGTTTAGCAACTGCAATTGTATTTAGCAGCTGTGAAGTGAAACCATCACTGTGCTTATGCTGTTATTCAGCTTTCCTTTGCTTTACAGAACTGTGAAGGTCATAAATGTGAGGACTGGTGACAAAGTTACTTTTTGATCACTATTCTAATTGCAAACAGATGCTAAGTGAGTCAGACATTGAGCAAAGATTACCTATAATCAAACCATGGTTTAGGCCATTACAAGAACCAGATGAGTTAAGATTGAGTCAGTCGTTGACTTGGAAGGTATACTCTTAAGTAGCTGGAAAAAAAGATGGGAACTTTTCTCTGAATCTTCTGCCTAGCCTGATTCCAGAAGTTGTACATGCTCTAACTCAGGGGCATGCCTGGTTGAGGAATTCTGGGAGTTGAAGTCCACAAGTCATAAAAGGGCCAAGTTTGAAGTCCCCTGCTCTAAGTAATTGCAGAAATATTGAGAGCTGCTTAAAATTGTCTAAAAGTTCTTGCCATCCACTCTATTAGTTTCAAGGGAAGGGCATTAGATCTCAGTAGATTTCTATATCCACTTTTCATTTAGAATTTCAAGGGATAAATACATTACCCTTCATCTCTCTCAGCCCAACCCATCTCAAGAGAGGAGGAAGATGAAGTATTATGTATGTTCACCACCTTGAGTTACCTATAGAGTTTTAAAGGTGGGATAAAACAACAATCTGAGATAGGTTTTGGCAGGGGTCTGTTCTCCGAGCTTGCTGTTTAGCTCCCAGACGTTTCCTTGCCAAACTAGGTAACATCTTCAGCAGGGGATTTGGTTGAAGTGTCTTGAGTTTTTGGGTCAAGACACTTCACCCCAAAACCCTACTGAAGATATTACCTAGTTTGGTAAGGAAATGTCCGGGAGCTACACAGCAAGCTCGGAGAACAGACCCCTGCCGAAGCCTACGACCCAAGCTACAAATATTGTCAACAATTTCTAATCTGAGATAGGTTGGGCAAAGAGCAAGTGACTGACCTAAAATCACACAAGGAATTTTTGTAGTTGAGGATAGACTAACATTTGGTTCTTCCTGCCTTTAGTCCAACGCATCACACTGGCTCATGGGCAGGAACTCTTTTGGGTGGTGCATCTAAAACAGGGTTGCTGTTTTATTGTAATGTTTTCTCAGAAGCAGATGCTATTTTTTATATATATATATATTACCTTGAGTGCTTTTTGATGCACCCTGTCGACCCAAATATGGGAGAAAGAAATCGAATCTCAGAAGGGTATGTCTGGTTGATAAGAACTAAAAAGTTCGAAATAGCTATTCCAGTTCTCCCTTAATTCTTTGTTAGCAATCCAAATTTTAAATATATATATATATAATTCCATTCATCCAATTAGCTATTCAAAGTTACGTTTAGGATTAAAGTTAATTCCTCTACAATTTTAGTGCTGTAGTTTCACTGAAATACAGCAGATGGCTCTGCTGTTTACACAATTCCTTCTCCTTTTTCAGCACGCTCCACACACAGACACACACGCAAACATACAGAGGTGTTGCCTGTGTATCCTTATAAAAATACTTTTTTAAATTTATCTACCCAAAAAGGAAACCTTACATTTTTCGCCCTAAATAATTTAACTTTAAACAGAACTTTAAACCTTTTAAGTTTGCTGAGAATATAGTAACGACGTAAATGAGATGATCTCTAATTCTCCTTTGAGTTAGATGATGACGTACCTTAAATTGTGGTTGTCTTCCATTCAGGTAAATTTGGGGTTATAATTTTCAATGGTTTGTACCTTTCTTGGCATTCATTGTGCTTAGACTGTATCAAATTAGGAACCAAATGTTTCTGACCATTAATTTCATTTATTAGATTTTATCCCACCTTTAAAACTCTATAGGTAACTCAAGATGGTGAACATACATAATACTTCATCTTCCTCCTCTCTTGAGATGGGTTGGGCTGAGAGAGAGACTGACTGGGCCAAATCACCCAGCTGGTTTTGAGACCTAAGATGGGATTATAACTCACGGTCTCCTGGGTTGTAGGCCAGCACCTTCCCCACTATGCCAGACTGGCTCTATAAAACCATGTTTTGAAAGCAGACCACCTCTTTGTCTTCAGAAATTTTGAGGGACTAAACTCTGTCTCCTACGTTCTAAGATCATAATACTGAGAATTACGGGTTTTCTAATTCATATTTAAAAATTAAGTTCATAATGCTGTTTTGGGGTTCAGTGAAAGTATAGAAACAGTGTTCAGGCCATAATTTATACTAAAAATGATTAATACTTAACCTGGCCACATGTGTTTCATTAATTATTGCTTGCTTACAGAAGTTGTTCTCTTCCCAAAGCACTTGTCATCAGTGTGTGGGTATGTGTGTGTGTGTGTGTGTATTTGATTTTATAAGCTAAGATGCAGATCTTTCCTGATATCTCAGCTATTTTATTTTATATTTCTCTTTTTTAAAATGTATATTTATTATGAATTCAGGAAGCCCCATACAAGAATCTTTCAGGTAGTTTGGCATTTTTGTTGTTCATTCCCAGTTTGCAGAATTGTATGCAAATATGCCATGCCTAATCTTCCTGAATATTGGGAGGTGGGGAATGATGGGATAATGAAAGATTTTTCCTTCCTTCCTTCCTTCCTTCCTTCCTTCCTTCCTTCCTTCCTTCCTTCCTTCCTTCCTTCCTTCCTTCCTTCCTTCCTTCCTTCTTCCCTCCCTCCCTCCCTCCCTCCCTCCCTCCTTTTTTTTATCACAAAGGGACCCTTAGTTTTTAGTGGCATAGTAGGAGAAAACTTCCAAACGTCTGGAGGGTCAAGGAACAAGTTAGTATAGCGAATGACATTTAATGTAATCTAAATAAAATTAATTAAATAAATGCTATTAATATAATGTATTTGTATATCTATCAGTATTTTACTACATGCTGGGAATTTATTTCAACTCCTGGACATTTTAAGGGTACCCCTATGTATTTTCAGTTATGTGCACCTGATGATGGTTCAGTAGAAGTTCTAAACCTCATGTTAATAATGCTGCTCCCTACCGTATATAAGATCTTCATTTATCCCATTTTAAAGACATTTCTGGATAGGCTTTGTGATTTCTACTTAATGTTACTTCTTTCAGACAAAGACTCAAAAATATCTTCCCAAGTCTGCCACTTTTGTGCTACCATCTGTATAGTATACCACACCATTAATGAAGTTTGGAACTTCTCATAATACTATTTTTATTCTGCTTTAGTTTATTATATTTGTTCTTAATTATGTTTTAGATTGTATTCTACTTATTGTTTTCACATGTGTCTGTCTGTCTGTCTGTCTATCTGTCTATATCTTTTCAGAACTGACGAAGCATCTTGGATGAGAAGTGAGATTCTATTCTACTTATTTTCATATATCTATATAACACTCTCTCTCTCTCTCTCTCTCTCTCTCTCTCTCTCTCTGTGTGTGTGTGTGTGTGTGTGTGTGTGTGTATCCCTAATATCTATAAAAATGCGAATCCCAGGCATATTTGTGTAATGGTATAAAACCGTAGTTGCGAGAAAATTAGAGCAACTACGGTCAGTTAGAATAGGCGATCCCATTACATGATCAATGGGTAGAGCACGGAGTCAATTGGGTTTATATAATAATAATAAAGTTGGAAGGGATCTTGGAGGTCATCTAGTCCAACCCCCTGCTCAGGCAGGAAACCCTATACCATTTCAGACAAATGGCTGTCCATTCTCTTCTTAAAAACTTCCAGTGTTGGAGCATTCACCGCTTCTGGAGGCAGGTTGTTCCACTGGTTAATTGTTCTCACTGTCAGGAACTTTCTCCTTAGTTCTAGGTTGCTTCTCTCCTTGATTAGTTTCCATCCGTTGCTTCTTGTCCTGCTTTCAGGTGCAAACTCCCCACCCCAAACGCTTACTCTGATGACGCTGGCAGTGGACCAGCGAAAGCTAAGACAGTCAATTTTTAGGTTTTGTACATAGTTGCTTTTATTGTTTTTATTGTTTTAACAATAAACAGCTGTTTTAAAGTTCATCCCAGAGTTCGAGGATTTTATACCATTACACACACACACAAACACACACACACACACACACACACACATGGGTCATAGGCTTAGAAAATGCTGTTGGGGGAACCTGAGCCCCCACCGTATTTGGTGTTCATTTAAATTCACTGGTGAATAATTTAAAGGATCCTGTTTACTTTTTAATATAAGGGAGAGATATAAATTGTCTTTGTGTGGGTATTGTTAACGTACAGCTGCCAGTGAACAGATGCTTGGAGTTCTTAAGTGGATATTTTAGTCTACCAGAAGTTACAGGAGTGAAAATCCAAACTTTTTTCTCCCTTTCATTTACACTCCCACCCATTCTTTTAAAATTGATTTTCTGACAAGATTTAACACTAAGCCTGTCTCGCTATTTTTATATAGTTCACCCACGT